GGATTAAAGACAGAAAGGAGGCTGGTACTAAGGGTATGATCCTTAGTTTATTAGCTCATATGTCTCCAAAAGACTCTTCTCAAGAAAACTGGTATGTTGATAAAGGTCATAAAAACTATCTGGTTGACATTAAGTCCTGTCTCACCAAGTTTGTCAAATTTGAGGATGATACAAGTGAAGAGAATGAGGTTATAACTAAGGATGAATGCTGCATTCTCAAAAGTGCGACTGAAAAGGAATATAGAGATACTCTTAGGCTGAGAACTGAGACAGAATACATGATGTCTAACCAGGTGTTGGAACATCTCAACCAAACCGGGAAGGTCAGGGTCAAACTTCGAATTTGGTTCTATGTGGAATTAGGGAAATTATTAGTATGTGCGCATGGAAAGGGATTTTTCTTTCTCCAATTAATACGACACGATTCTCGTTGTAAATCATTGCTCTCTTGTCATATTTCTCAAAATCACATAAAATCACTTTACAACTGCTCCATTATTCATCTCATCTACCTAAACAAACTGTTCATCTCTGATTCATCTCAAAACTATCTCTTCAAAATGAAATCTGATTCCATGATGACAAACATTCCCGTCTCAACTCCTAGCAAGAATCCTGAAGAAAAGAATATGGAAACCCCAACAAAATCTAGGGTTTCACCTTTACCAACTGGGGACTTCTCTCCATATGTCATTACTAGTGTCGTTCCCCTATCTGTTGTTCATCCTTAAGACGACCCTAAAGAAGGTGTCAAATCCTCTGGAACCAAAAAGGCTAAGACCTCTAAGGTAAATAAAGACTATTATCTTTCAAAAAGTGGTCAAAAACCCCGTAGCTCTAGGAAATCAACAACCTCTGGTAAAAAGAAATCTCTATCTATGAATAGTTTGTACCTTGATCCTCTCCCTACTAATCAGGGCCCTCTTAATTTAAATCCTAAGATAATCATTGATGAGGTTGAGATTGAACTCGCCATTACTGAAACTAGTATGAATGTTGCTAAGGCTGCTAGTATTGAAGAGCTCAGGAACAAAGTTGACCTAGAATTGAGTACTATTGCTCAAGAAGTCAGTGAAACAAATGTTTCTAAATCCGTGATTGTTGACCCTAGATCCAATGTTGAGCCAGATGTTGAAACATCTTTGGCCCAGACTAAACATGAAAACCCCAACATAAGTGAGGATGAGAAGATAGACACTGGTAGGAAGCTCCGCAGGTTTGTGGCTAGTGTTCTGAAAGAAGCTTGGTGCGAGACTAAACAAAGTGGTTATTCTTTCTTGACTAAAAATGATCAACATGAAGGCAATCCTACTTGTCAGCATCAAAGCGATATGGCTACAAAATCTATGTCCTTTAATGTACTTGAGAAGCATGTTCAAGAAGAGGTGGCTACCAAAGAGAAAAGTGAGACTAGCAAAGAAATAATGATGTTTGATGATAAGGAAAGACTATCTGACAAGGAAAACAACTCTGAACCAAAGACACCTGAAACTGTTAATTTGAGTTCAGATGGTGAAATGTTAGCAACTAGTATTGCTAAGAGGATAAAAAGGAGGAAAGGAGAGACTGATATGTCAACAAGTAGACATCATAGGTACTATAAGAGAAAAATAAGTGTAAGTCCTGAGAAAAGTTGGAGCAAGGTGGTGTCTCCTATCTCAAAGAAGAAGTCACTGAAAATGAAGAAAACTTCTTCAAGTGATTTTGAGGTTGAGATGCATGTTAAACCAGATGTCTAGGACATTGTGTCTTCTAGCAGAAACATTGTTGCAGGAAAGAAGGTATCTGTAAATGTTCTTGAAGTGACCATTGATAACATTTCTTTTCATTCTCTGGAGAATGTTAAAAAATGGAAGTTTGTATATCGAAGTAGGATAACGCTTGAAAGAGAACTTGGAAAAGATGCTCTTGGGCTCAAGGAAGTAATGAGTATCATTGAACATGCATGATTGATGAGAACTCGTCTGGTCGTGTCTGTTTGAGTGACTAGAGTTTTGTAAAAGTAAGGGAGTAACTCCTAAGATACTAAGGCAACTCACGCACACTTGAAACATCTTTTTTTTATCAAAAAAATATCTTTAAAATAAAACCTCTGTAAGATACCGCCTGCCTTCTTTTTCAAGCATTTTTAACTAACCAAATGGTTCGGACCTTAAAATAATCGATTGGAAGATATTCTTGAATTGCCCAATCAATTGGGACCTTAAGAAAATCTATTGGAAGATTTTTTGAACTAATTAATCGACTGAAACCTTAATCCAATCGATTGGAAGAGGCCTAAACGATTGGCCAATCGATTAGGACAGTGTATTAATGATTGGTAATGGCTCTATCTCCAAACATTCCATGTTGGGCTTGCTAATCGATTAAAAGTGAGTTTCCTAATCAATTTGAGCTTTATTTCAATCGATTAGATCATTAATTTGGCCTATGTATCATTTATTTATTTTCGATTTTTCCTTCTCATATGTAAAGGAAGGTCGCATCTTCTTCATTTCACACTAATTCCCGAATTTTTACATTTTCTTTGGAATTTATCTCTCTATTTTTTATTCTTCTCTCTCTAAAAATATTATTCTTCCCTTAAAGTTGTCTTTCTGCTTTTGAGTGAACATTACCTGTGAGGAAGAAATTGTTTGAGTGAAGTGCTCTTGTGATTACTTTCAAGAGTGTGATACTCTTGAAGAATAGACTTTAGTTCTTGAGATTAATCAGTCTTAAAATCTCTTTGGTTCTTGAGATTAGCCTGTAAAATATCTATCTTGATTGTTATTTTAGCTTATGTAAAAACTTCTTGTTTGATTGGGAATAAGTCATTCTAAAGATCATCTTGTATCGAAAGATTCATGGACATAATCTGTAAAAGCTAAAAGTTTTAGTCAAAATCTCAAGAAGACATCTTAGGGAAAAGACTAGGCCAACGTTCGGCCAAACTTGGATAACTTTATGGTAAAATCTCTCTAACCATTTACTCTCTTTATTTTTTGTTTTTTTATCATATGTTTTTATTTCCACTGCTATTTACTATCAAAGAAACTATTAACATGATCTTAATTGAGAAAAATATAAAATTAATCATTAATTTTAAATACCACAATTCACCCCCTCCCCCTTTATGTTTGAAGTCATTTGTCCAACAAATATGTCTGAGTAATAAGTGTATTGAAAAGACACAATGGTGTTTTTAGAAGTAATATGGTTAAAACTCTCTCTCTCACACACACACAGAGAAGTAACTTTGAAGCCTTTCTTTTTCAAATAAAATCACCAAAAAAATATTTTTGGAGCATGGTCGATTGATTTGGAAACTATCAAATTGATTAAGACAAGTTTTTGAATTTTCTAATAGATTAAAAAAATATACTTAATCGATTAGATAAGGGGGAATCAAGTCCATAATTGATTATGATATTGTCTTAATGAATGGTAACGATATTCCATTAAAATCTTCCAATTTGGGTAACAATAATCGATTATTGCAAGTACCTAATAGATTAGCTAATTGATTAGGACATTTATTTTGCAAATGGATTATTTTCTAAAATGAATTATTTATTGGCCTCTAAATATAAGGTTTCCCCTTCATTTCAAAACATTCTGAAAACATGAAACTTCTCTCTTTTCCTATTTCTCTATCTCTCTCTAAAAGTTATTTCTTTTTCTCTCACATATTTTTAGCCATAGTTATTTGAGATTATTCTTGAGTTTAGTGAGAAAATTGGTTCTTGAGTTCCACCATTGAAGAAAAACTCTTTTTTTTTTATCAACCCGGTTAAAATCTCTATCGGTTTGAGATTAGTCTGGTATAGAATCTCACTCGGTTTCTAAGTTCAACCTGTATAAAAACTCAGTAGATTCGAGATTATCCCGATAAAAATCTCAGTTAAGTTTGTGGTCAGCATGTGTAAAACTTCAGTTCGTTTTGGAGGATAGTCAACTCAAAATCCCAACTTGGTTCGAGATAAGCTTGTGCAAAATCATAGTTTAGCTTAGAGACTATCCGCTCAAAGACGTGCTCGTTGTTTGAAGTGATAAAGAACCGCTTCATTCCTCTGTTCGCTGTTTGGTTGGAAGTTAGCCTAAAATTTTATTTTCCTTATATACGGGGGTTCGTTACTTTTGCTTATTTTTTTTATCCTTATGATGAAATAAAAATGAACAAGGAGCGGTTTCCTATACTTTCAACTAGGGAGCATTGAACATGGTGGGACTTTTTCCTTTCTAGAGCAACCTTTATGAGAGACACACCACATACTCACCCAAAACCTTAAGGTGATAGGTGTATGGGTTCTCTCACTTATAAATGTTCAAGTCACCACATTTCTATCCAATGTGGGACTATTATCCACCATACTCACACTTGTTAATACTTAACATATTTTACATGATAATGATAATTTTTTTATATTTTCTTATTTTATTGTGTCCTCTGATTCTTAATTTTTTTTTTTTGGTAATACAAATGAAACATTATCAAGCATTTACAAAATAAATAACTAACTAGAAAAGAAAAATATGGACTAAAATAATCAAATCAAAAGTCAAATTTCCTACATAAACATCCACCATGTATTTCATTATCTAAAATGCATTAATTTATTTATTTAGATTCCATAAATTCATTACCATATCATATCTATGGTCCTTTCCCATGCTCTTGATGCTTACCATTCCACACCCTCTCACATATTCATAACTACACATCATTGCTTCCTCTCTCTCTCTCTCATATATAAATACCACACTCACAATTCACATATATTTTATTATATATGCTCATCACATAGACCCTTTTCTCTTCCATCATAAAGTATACCATTATTTAAAAAACTCTTGAATCCCTTCATAAGTGGAGTAAAGAGTGTTCTTTTCCAAAACACAACAACGAGGTTTGTTTCTCTTCCTCAATCTCTTCACTTTCACTTTTCTTTTCAATAAATTTTTCTCCTTATATATCTTTCACTCCTTTGAGCAGAAACATCAAATCCAAGAAAGTGATTATGGGTCTTGGAAGATTAGTAGGCACACTAAAGTCCAAAATAAAGTCATTGAAATTGAAGAAACCTTACAACAAGGTGGAAAAGAGTGAGAGCATGAGAGTGGAGATAAAGAGCAGAAAAGCCAGAAAGCTTATTGAAGAAACTCTCAAAATTGCTGATTCACCAAAGACAAAATCCTTCAACTTCTGATCCTAGCATCTACCTTAATAACATGTTCATCGTATGTAACAAACCTTTTTAAGGTTCTTTTCATGTTCTTTGTATGTAATCTAATATAATTTCAATGAAATATAATTAATTAGTTTCTCATTATTTTTCTTCTAAATTATTCCAAGCTTTTTCATTATGCATGATTCTAGAATATTACTCTAATTGTGAGATTGATGTGAAACATGAAGAGTTTGCTTTGTGTTTGGATAAAAATGGAAGGTGGAAATAAAATGGAAATGAAAAGGTAAAAAAAGATGGAGAAAAATAATTGTTTTAATTGATTCAGAAGCGATCGTTTTCAAATTTATTGCGTATTAACATCAGGTCTGTTTTGGTTGGACCATCTAGAAAGATTGGTACAGAAGTAATTATGTCACATTAACTCTTCTTTTGGTTTATTTTACCAAATGGAAATAATGTTTTTGTTTTTTTATGAGAATATTTTTATGATTTAACCAATGTTTTAAAAGTTGGGTTGGAAATCCAAGAACTTTCAATTTTAAGTTTAATCGAGGATCAGTTTATTTTGGTTTTCTTATAATAATTTTTATAGTGTGAAATATTTTGGTATAAAAAATTTTAAAAATAAAATAAAATATATAAAATTTTAAAATAAAAATTTGGTTTGAATAGTTGTTTTAAATATTTTATTATTTTTCAAAAAAATTTTGAATATCAAAATTTTTAAAAATTATTTCTCTTTGAAGCTATTTCAAATAGCTTATCATAAAAATCATTTTTTGGATACATTTTTTTGAAAATATTATGATTTTGATTATGTTTTGATCTTCAATAATGTATGTTTATGTTATAATATGTTAAAATTAATCTTTTAATTTATAAAAACAAATTTAGAAAAAAAATTTGTAAAATCCATTTCCAAAAATATAAGAAAAAATTCATTTTTATAAAGTTAAAACAAACAGGCCTTGATTCAACTAGATAAACATATACATATTCTCTAGAGGTGGATCAATCACTAAAAGAGTTTCATTAGTATAATAAAGGTGAGAGACTATCAATCCGAAAGTATCAACTTTAAATCTAGAGTAAAGGCTCAACTCTTCTATCTTCACTACCTAACCACTAAGACCCTTAACAATCAGCAGAAAAATAAAAGGAATGATGGGATCCCCATGTTCCAGGCCTAATTGAATGCTAATCTCTCAAGGTAGGAGGACCATTCAAGAGACAAGTTTTCATCCAATACCTCCACATCTCATTAAACTTGAATATGATCAGCATATACTCCAGTAAATTCCAACTAATTGAGTTGTATGTGTAGCGGAAAAATTTAAGATTAAGCTATTGATTAACTTAACTCACAAAACAAGAGTCGCCACCGCACTTTTATTTTATTCAAAGGAAAGGAAAAAGAGCGAACAAAACCTAAAGAAGTTTTAAAAACAAAACTAATAAAAACAAAGACAGGGTAAGGGGGTTGGTTACGCAAAGGGAAGGTGTTAGAATCCAAAACGTTTATAGTACTTTGTAGGATCCTCTTTGAAAATCTAGCGTTTGCCTTAAAAAGGTGTTGTTTGCAAAAGATTGGTGAGGTGAGAAGAGAAGAATATTTTTAATAATTTTGTATTTGACAAGACTTTCTGAGCCTCAATGTCTATGTATCCACAAAGTGCAATGGAGGAACAAAACCTCGTAGTTCGTGGTAAAAATGACAAAAATGGTGTGTTATGATTCATTTTAAATGAAAAGACAACTTTTCATTTTAAGGAGAAAACTTCAACAAATCACCCACAAGTATGTGAAAATGGACATATGCATCACCATGAGAAGGGATTCAACTTGGATAAAATCAACAAGTATGTCATTAGCTCTCTAAGGTGGAAAAAAATCAACTTACTTCAAACAATACTATGGGGATAGCAAGATCACATTTCAACTATGGAAATGACTCATGTCTAAACTTTATGAAAAGTTAAAAGGAAAAGTGCACAAAGGCACAAAATGATTTGAATGGGTTAAGTATTTTTTAAGTCTTTTACAAATGGTCTAAGTATGCTTAAAATTGATTAACATTTATTAAGAAAATGAGTTTGAAAATGCACTTGACAAAGTCAAGGTTTATTATGAAAGAGGTTCTAGTTTGAAAGAAGAAGATTTTCAAAAAGGGAGAAGATTTTGAAAATTAAGAAGGGGGGGGGGGGGGGAGATGAAGAGGTTATCATAAAGCATAAAATAAAAGTTAAGGAAGAACAGATCTAACAAAGATACAAGTCTTTGACATAAACAAGACAAAACTCCCATCCTTTAGGCTCAAGCAATAAGCAGCCAGATAAGCAGAGAAAACCAAGCATCAGATGAAAACCAAGTCTCCAAGTCAAGTCTTCACAAGAGGCCAACTCAAGATCAAAGTGCCAAATAAGATCCAAGGGCTCAAGATATAACTCCAAAGCATAGGACAAGGAACCTAATTCTAAGCCCATCATTCATGAGAAAAAGATAGTCACCAAATAGTCCAAGGAGCACATTAAGAGTTTTTTAAGTGTTTAAGTCTTTATTAATGTCTTAAAAAAGAAAAAGAAAGTCCAAGTGGACAAAGAGAAAAAGGCATAAACATAAACAAGATGATAATATGATATGATGATGACAATAATAAAAGCAATATGAAATATAAGAAAGTAAATGACTTAAAAATAAATATGCATAAAAGTAAATGACATAAAAAGTAAATGTTAGTAAAATTAAAAGTTAGTGTTAGTGTTAATGAAGAAATTTTGTCATTTGAAGTATAATACTCAACTAATTAACCCAACAAGTGTGAGAACTTTTCATCATCCTTTGAGAAGGGCTCCAACTTGGATAAAATCAACAAGTATGCCACTAGCTTTCTTAGGTGGAAAAGAATCTACATACTATGGAGATAGGAGACTTACATCTAAACTAAAGATGACTCAAATCTAAAATTGGACCAATATGATCACTTTCCGATTAGGGACAAATTTAGTGCTACGTTAAGCAATCGTAGCATAATCTATAAGAAAGATCATACTATGGGAGGCCGGTCAATAGTAATTCATGTACCATGCATGTTAGATATATGATATAAAGATCATACTCCTAAAACATGTAGTACAAGTCAAAATAAGGTTTATCAAGACCTAAGTCAAGGAAAGATGGATCCATTGCATCAATCAACCTCTCATAGCACTTTGGAAAAACTTATGCATCAATCTAAAGTACCTCAATTGATCAAATGATCAATCAAATAGTAGATTTGAAATTATGAAAATTCACTAAGCACCATTTAAGATCTCATGAACAAGATGGTCTGTACATCTTCAATTGATCCAAAGAAAGGTGAAAAATAAAAAATAAAAAAAGGGTGAGGAAGAGAGAATCAAACAAAAAGGCAAAACCAAATTGGATCCAAGTGATGATCAAGTCGTCATAAAAAATGAATCATCCATTTTGGTGGATTAGGGTTTTTACCCCGTCAACACCCAAGATTCATTGCGTTTGATGAAACCTATGATCAAATCAACCAAGAAGATCCAAGGCCAACAACAATCAACAAAGATCAAACAAGAACAAAAATGCAATAATATGAATTACAATGCACTAAAATGATTTTTAAAATTAATTTTAAAATAAAAATAAAGATGAAAATGAAAGTGATGCATCAAAACAAATGAGAAATGATCAAGAAAATCACACAAGTCAGAAACAATATGAGAATGCTATATAAAATTTTTTTAGAATTTTTAGATGCATAAAAATATTTTTAAACTAATTAAAATGCTCCAAGAAATAGAAAAATCATGAAAAATATCAAATGATGAAAATAAAATATGAAAAATATAAAATCATAAAGAGGAAAATAAAATAAAATCTTAGAAATTATTTTGGTATTTTTTGGATTAAAAATGAAATTACTATAAATTTTTAAAAGAAAATGCAATTTAAATATAAAAATAGAAAATAAAATAAAAGGAGAAAAAAGGAGGAGCGTAGGATCTGACTTCATTAATTGACGTGGCAGATCCCACGCTCCTAAGATGAGGATGTATGGTGGAAATTAACTCAGAAATAACATGTGGACGCATTCAAATTCATCCAATCAAAATATTTCAATCTGCCAATGTGAAAGACGCCTCATGTCATCGTCCAACCTCTCCGATCATCTTCTCCGGTGAGCAGCTCATCGGAGAATGTTAAATGGTAACATTAAGGCATGGAACCACCATCATTGCAACCGTCTCATTAAGGTGAACTCAACTTCACTCTCCATTTTCATTTATTGAAAAGGAGTAGAGAGAATTTTGAGGAAAATCATAAGAACATGCATACACTAAAACAAAAATTAAATGATGCACACGAAGAATCAAAGCCAGCTAGGTTAGGGGAAACATTCAGCAAGCAAATAACTACATTATGGTAACTTGTTTGATTGAAAATAGAGCTTCAAACTACCTTGTCCAAAAACGACATGAGAAACTCTGAAACTGGATTTGGTTGGAACAATTCATGAACTCTTAGAGCTTGGAATTTGTTGTAGAAGCTTCACGGGAACATGATGAAGCTAACTGAATCAAGAAATAGAGTTGAAAGTGGCTGAAAATTAAAACACGATAGCTCACTTTTTTGCAGAACATTTGAAGGTGGAATAGGGGTTTTCTGGCTCTCAAAAGCTTGCCAAAGAATCAACCCTGCTAACTTCCTCTCTTATCCTATCAATACAAGTGTTAAGGTTTCCAAAAACCTCTATATTCTAGGATTTTAGAACCATTTTGAGAGCTTTAAGCTTTTCCAACAGAACAAAAGCTTGTCAACCTTACACCTCAGTAGTGTTCCAAAAATTAGTAACTAAATCAGGAAGACTATTGTGCATTAATCAATGATTATTAAATCTAAAAGGTTTGTGATCCCATAACTAATTGTTGTACTTTTGGATGATAGGACAATGATTAGAAACATCCCTCTAAAAGACCTATTGAGATGTTTGCCTTCAAAAATCTCCC